GGCCCAGAGTTCAAGTCCCACAACCGACAAAAAAAAAAAAAAAAAAGCTTTCCTCAGCTATATAAAAGGTATATAAAAAGCTGACCATGAGGTGAGTGTGGTGGCTCACACACATAATCCTAGCTACTCAGGAGGCTGAGATTTGAGGATCCAGGTTCAGAGCCAGCCAGGCAGACAAAGATGAGAGACCCTTATCCCTAATTAACCAGCAAAAAGCCAAAACTAGAGGTGTGGCTCAAATGATAGAGCACCAGTCCTGTGTTCAAACAGAGCAAGATCCTATGTTCAAACCCCAGGATTGGCACAGAAACAAAAATGGCTGTCCCCCGTCTTTGGCTAAATATGAGGTTTGAAATCTTAGTGTGCTCCTGAACTTGAGCAAGCCACCGGGCAAGGTTACTGCCCATCCCTCGATCGACCCACTGTGCTCCAGGCCCCGCTGCGAGCTCTTCCATGCTCAGTGGCCCCCGTCTGAACAGCGCCCATGGCGCTGTAAGCTGAGTGGGGTCGGCAGCTTTGCTCATTGCACACGTCAGAGCAGCTTCAGACCTCGTAAGTCTCTCCCTTGGGGCGAGGAGCTCAGCCTTCCCTCTCATTTGGACCCCCCACACACACCCCGTCCCCATGCGTCTTGTGGAACCCCTTCCCCTGCATGGCCACCCTGTGCTAACAGGTTAGCCGGAGCTTAGCAACCACCCCGGGGAGGGGGCTGGCCGTGGGCTGGCCCTGCCTCTCCCCACCACCCCCGAGTTGAGGCCTGAGGCCTGGGCCCTGCAAGCTGTAGTCTTCTCTGGAGACCGGAAATGACTTCCAGCTACGGCCGATGTTGCTTTTCCTGACCTTTAAAAAATTCTACCCCCAAACGAACTGTCCCTTTCAGAGAAGCAAAAGCAACCTTCTGTGAGTGGGTGGGAGGGGGGGGTCCCCCATTTTGGAGAAATCGAAGTTTCCCACATCTCCCAGACTCAGAGCCCCTGGTGCGATTGCCCATGCCCAAGGCACAGGGGGGAGAGAGGCCACGTGACCCCCAGGCTTGGAGACAAGGTCCTGTTGGTCCAGCCCTTTCCTTCTGCATGGGGAGAGCGGTCACTGGATGCTTCACCAAGGAGGACGCTCCTGCCCCCCCTCCCCCGCCATCTCCTGGGGGTGGGGAGGGCATTTGACACTGTGAAGGTCAGGGAGTCCCCAAAGTCCACTCAAATGGGCTCAGAGGCCTCTTCCTGCCTCTATTGTCCCATAATCCAAAGGGGGCTCTGAAGGCAGGACACTTCTCCATTGTGGCTGCATTTATTTATTTTTCTGTTGCTGCCCAACTTGTGTAAGAAATCCTACTCTAGTTTGCTTTCCACCAGCCATTTCCTGTCATTACAAATCTTCTCCTTCCCGGAAGGAGAAGGACAGGACTTCTGGGAATGAGAAAGAAAGTCAGAGAAGATAAACATTCGTCATGCTGGCCTTTAACTGTGTTGTCACACTGCGAAGAGGTGGGGGCTGGGAGCTGGCGGGGTGGGGGGGCAGAGGTGAGGGGCAGGATTGACCCTCAGACTATCCAATGCTCTTGAGAAGCACCTGGGCGGACCGCCCCATTGGCATGGGTGGAGCTGGTCAGGCCAGATTTGTGTGGTCTTCTCCCATCTGCCCAGTGCTTACTGGACAGCTCTGCCCTGATGGCCCACAGAGATGTGGCTGGACTTATCCCAGTGGAACTCCTCAGATGACCTATGCCTTGCTGATCACCGTGTCAGGCGCCTCTCCCCACCCTGGCTCCAAGCTGAGTACCTGAGCATCTTACCGCACACTTCTGTTCTTGTGTGTGTGCATGTTGGTCCTAGGGCTTGAATTCATGGCCTGGGCACTGACCCTGACCTTCTTTTGCTCAAGACTAATGCTCTACCACTTGAGCCACGGCTCCACTTCCATCTTTTTTTGGTAGTATATTGAAGGGTCTCATGGACTTTTCTGCCTGGGTTGGCTTCGAATCATGATCCTCAAATCTCAGCCTCCTGAACAGCCTGTAGGCATGAGCCACCAGCCCTGCTCTTACTTAACCAGGACTCTAGCCTAGAATAGAAGGAACAGCTGCCACGTCCTGGGAACACTCTCACCACCCACAGCCGCACAAAGGCAGGTGCTGTGACTGCCGTGAACAGGTGTTTTTTTTTGGGGGGGCCTTCAACAGGCCCTGCCATCCCTCCCTGGACCTACGTATGTGCATGCCTCCTGGCCTTTAGTCTGCCTTTCTAAACGGAGAGGAAGAAATCTTTCCAAATTGGAATCTGCTGGATCCTTCAGCTCTGCTCCCAACTTTTGTCCCACACTGCCTTGCTGGGCCTCCGGTCTTCACGGGCAACACAGGGGTAGCTGGGATATGATAATGCGTAAGAGTAGAGCGCCTGCAGGCTGCACAGCAGGTAGTTCAGCCCTGGAGCTGCTGTTAATATTCCTGAAAAGGGCTGAGCTGGACTCAGTGATACATACCTGTAGTCTCAGCCACAGATAAGAGGACTGCTGAAGCTCAGGAGTTCAGAACAAACCTAGGCTCCACAGCTCAAAAACAAAAGCCAAAGCATGGATTCAGCTAGACAAATGTGGTAGCGTGCTTGCTTGGCATGCACAAGACACCTGAAGAAAAAGAAGTCAGGTGCTAGTGGCTCTTACCTGTAATCCTAGCTACACGAAAGGATGAAAATCATGGTTCAAAGCCAGGCTGGCTGGAAAGTCTGTGTGACTCTATGTCCCAATTAACCACCAGAAAACCAGAAGTGATGCTGTGGGTAAAGTAGTAGAGCCTTAGCCTTGAGCAGAAAAGGCTTACAGACGGTGCCCCGGTCCTGAGTTCAAGCCCCATGACTGACCAAAAAAATAAAATAAATAAAAAAGCCCAGGAATGGGTCAGTGTCCAGGCCCTGAGTTCAAGCTCCAGGAAAGTAAAGAAGAGAGGCCAGGCACTGGTGGCTCATGCCTGTAATCTGAGCTTACTCAGGGAGCTGAGATCTGAGGAGTACAGTTCGAAGCCAGCCTGGGCAGGAAAGTCCATGAGACCCTTATCTCCAATAAACTACTCAGAAAAGGCCAAAAGTGGCACTGTGGCTCAAGTGGTAGAACACTAGCCTGGAGAACAAAGAGGCTCAGGGATAACGCTCAGGCCCTGAGTTCAAGCCCGATGACTGACCCCCCCCCAAAAAAAAAAGAGGAAGAGAAAGAAAGGAAGGAAGGAAGGAAGGAAGGGAGGAAGGAAGGAAGGAAGAGAAAAGAAAAAAGAGTGAGAAGAGGAAGGAGGGGTTGGGGGTAATTACATAAGCACAGAGAGACATTCTCTCACCTAGCTTCATGGGGTCTCAGACACAGGTACAGGTGGAGATTGTGGCTGACACAGCGCCCTCTCCTGGTGAAGTGCTGACTAGGACGTCCCAGGCAAGGCAAGCCAAGGCTGGCCTGGTGCTCACCAGGCCCCACCACCATTCCATAACCCGTTGCGTGCCAAAGTCCCTGGGAGCCCCCATAAAAACACAGCCTGGGCCCCCTGCTGTTTCTACAACAATGAGAATATTTATTTTCTCCAGACGGTAAAAATAACATTTTTTCTCTCTTTTGTAAAAGTTAAGTACCATTACATTCCTTTTTCTTAAATAACAAAATGCTAAAAATATATATATTAAATTGTATACAGTGCGTCACACTTCATTTTATATTTTAAAATACATGATGTTTCTATTTTATTCTCAAAGTTGCATATTAAGAGCATATTTACAAATAAAGCCTTGTCATCTGAAGTCAAAATCCCGGCTGGAAGGTGAGTTTGGGTGTGGGAAGGTCTTGGCGCCGCGCAGACCCCAGGACAGCAGCTCCCCGTGCAGACAGAAAAGGGACTTCTAGCCTCTGACCTAAGGACACTCGTCCCAATGGGGACATTTGCCTGACTGTCCCCCATGCCTGCTTCTGTCTGGTGAGTGTGTAGGCCCTGCCTGGGGTCTGGAGCCCAGACCTCCCGAAGGGCCGAAGGGCCGGGCCACAGCCGGCCTGCAAGGTTTGACACACCCCTCCTGCCAGAGCAGCTGAGCCGAGACCTGGCCAGGAGGTAGAACAATGAGGAAAGTAAACAAAGACACCAGGAAAACATCAAAAGGTAGTAACAAAAGCAGACATCAAAACATCAAGCTGAGCCAAGAGTGGAAAACTCAAGCAGGTGCCAGGTGCCAGGGCTGCGGAGTGGGGGTCCTGGCCTGGCCCCAGCGGACAGGGAGGCTGGGTCCTGGAGGCCGTCCACTTCTAAGTGCTTGTGAAGATTCAGTGCGCGGTGGCCCTGGGGGCCGGGGATGGCCTGTAGGTGTCAGGCAAGCAGCCTGGGCTGGATCCAGGGCAGGCTGACTTCTGCCTAGGGTGGGCCTGGGGCCAGGGCTCTGGTCCTGGGGGCTTCTGGCTGGGTTGGAGTCTGGAGCTGGAGCCCACACTCGAGGGAAGAGCAGCCCAGTCACCTGGCCCCCCACTTCGTCCTGAGAGATGAGGGGTGGCACGGGCACGTCCCTGCTCATCCTCTGCTTCGCCAGGTGCAAGCCAAGTGGGGGAGCGCCCAGGCACCCTGCACCTCCCACCTGCCGATGCAGGGGCCACGGCCATGGAGACTGGGTGGCCAGACTGCTGCCAGCACTCGCTCCCCCGGTTCCCTTTTAGTCTCTCCACCCTCCTCGGGCTCCTCTCCTCCACCAGGATCTCCACCAGCTCAGGGGCTCTGTGGGGTGCTGCTGGCTGATCCTAAGAGAGCCCATGGTCGTGCAGTGACAGAGTTGGGCCCGGACAATTTATGGCCTCTGTCCCCTATGCTGTTTTGAGGTGGGGTTGGGTTTCCTGATGGGGAGCTGAGCCCAGAGGAGCAGGATGAGCACAGGGTCACCCCCTGCCCTTCTGGGGCTCTGAGAAAGGGCTGGTCAGCTGCAGCCCCCTGCTGGGGCTTGGCCTCCCTGGCTCTGAGATGAGATTGGGGGGGGGAGGCATGAGGGGGAGGGTGGTAGGCCTGTGGGCAGCCGAGCCTTTCCATGGCCAGATCCCACGCTCTCTGGGCTGTACGGGGCCGGCTCAGAGAACAAGCCCTCTGAATGACACACAGCAGACGCTCGCATTGTAGAGGAGATTCCCCAAAAGCCACGGGGAGCTGGGAGGGCAGAGTGCAGGCGCCAGTCTATTTCCAGTGGTCCTTGTATGACAGGCCTGTCCTCAGACCCAGGGTCCTGTGGACAGCTGCTCTAGGGTGACCACCCTCTCTAGATCAAAGTGTGAGGTCGGCGCCCAGTGCTCTGTGCCCTCCGCAGGCCCTCCTAGGTGCTGGGCCAGGGTCCCAGGCCACCTAGGGACACACTGCCTCTTCTCTGTAAATGGTCACTTCTCCTGGACTTTCGTGGCCTCCTGGTGTCTCTCTGCAGGCACTTCCCAGCTAGCCTCATACCGCCTTCCATCCAGGACCCCAGGAAGGGCAGGGGCTTAGGCACCTGGGGGAGGTGGGGAGGAAATCCAGGAGGCCAGAGGCACAATCTGTACCAGGGCTTGAGTTCAGCAGGAAAGCCACATGCTGACAAAGGTCCAGGCCTGGGCTGCCCTCCTCAGATGCTGTTAAAGAGCCCCTTCCCATGGCAGAGCCTCTAAGTTAGAGAAGGCACTTAATGCTCCCAGCCCGAGGACAGGGACTGAGCGCCTGGCTCAGTCTTGGAGGGTCTCCAGTTCCCGACGCCTCCCTGTCCTCACCAACCTTCATCCACTCCTGCCTGAGGGCAAGGGGGTATGGGGCAGGGAGCTTCTCCCTTCCTAACCTGCCTGGTCCCCAGCTTCTGGGATGGATTTCACATGGGCACACAGGCCCCACAGCCCAGCCCACACATGCCACCCGAAAGGCCACACCAGAGTCTTTATACTCCCTGTTCTGAACGGAGAGTCGGCTGACAGGACCTGGGAGACTGGCCGGGCTCAGGCTCCACAGAACCACCAGCTGCTGGGGCCAGGCCAGATAAACCCAGTTCACAAGCAGTTACAAAAGCCTCCTGGGCTCATCTGCCTTCCTCCAGCTCACTATCCAGGCCGCTGAGCTTTGGAAAGAAGCCTCTAGCAAGAAGCACATGGACGAGGACCATGTGCCCATGGACCTTCTGCCCACGTGTGCCCGGGATGGGCAGCATCCAGAGAACAAGGCCCCGGCTAGCACGGACTTCAGAGGCCACACATGCAGGTGAGCGGGCCAACCTCTAGAGAACCTGAGTATGCTTCCAGTCTGTCCTGTTCCAAACTGTAAAGACCAGGGGGAAACTGATCTGTGTGTGGACAAAGCAGAGGAGAAGCAAGAAAAACTCACACACTAAACCTACCCACCACCCAACAGTCATCTTGAATGACCTGAGCCTAGTGCCAGCCACAAACACCTCTCTTGTCTCAGCTCCACTGTCCCAACACCCCACTGCTAGACCAGAGAGAGACAGGAAGGGCGGGGCCCTGGGCCTTGGGTCTTTCTCCTAAATGCAGGTGCTAAAGCAGTTGGCCTCTGGGCTCCGCCCTCCAGGTAGCATGGGGCTCCTCTTCAGTGCACAGGAGGACTCCCCCAGCAGGCCAGGCAGAGAGAGGCAGGGAAGAGTCGGGAGAAACACAAGGGGAGGGTCAACCCCAGCAGCCTTCAGCCAGAGACACCTTGTGTCCTGCGTCCTGCGTGGGGTTCTAGTCACTTACAAGGGGATTCCGATCATCTTGTTGACTCTGACCCTTGAGCTTCTTCTTAAAGATGGAGATGGAAGTGGAAGGCTTATAAAAAATGCTCCAGATTTCCCCTGAAGCCGCTGGTTGGTGGCAGTCCCTGAGGTCCCCTGACTCAGAAACACGATGGGATCTGCCAAACAGAAAAATTTTCACGTAGATCAGAACAAAGTGCCCAAAGCAAAACAACCTACCATTTCTTTCTTTTTGGTCAATTGTGGAGCTTGAACTCTGGACCTGGCGCCGTCCCTGAGCTTTTTTCCCTTAAAGCCAGTTCTCTATCGCTTGGGCCACAGCGCCACTTTTGGTTTTCTGGTGGTTAATTGGAGATAAGAGTCTCAGAGACATTTTTCTGCCCAGGTTAGCTTTGAACCATGAACCTCAGATCTCAGCCTTTAGAGTAGCTAGGATTACAGGCGTGAGCCACTGGCACATGCATACAATCTACCACTTCATGGGGCACCAGTGCCTATGAAACAGGATGTCCAGTGGGGCGAACTCCCGGGTGGGACCCACAGAGCCAATGGACTATCATGCCTGTGGGAATCGAAGGCAGTGCAGCAAGCCAGATTCTTCTCAGAGTCACAAGAAACTTTGAGCTGGCACAATTGTTCAAATCTGGAAAAGACTGGCCTGAGAGACTATAACTTCTCAAATTCTTCCGTTTTTTTTGGGTGGGTCCTGAGGCTTGAACTCAGGGTCTGGGTGCTGTCCCTGAGCTCTTTTGCTCAAGGCTAGTGCTCTATCACTTTGAATCATAGCACCACTTCCAGTTTTTCTGGTAATTAATTGGAGATAAGAGTCTCACAGACTTTTCCTGCCCAGGCTGGCTTTGAACTGCAATCCTTAAATCTCAGCCTCCTGAGTAGCGAGGATTATAGGCGTGAGCCACCAGCCAGGCTGGCTTTGAACTGCA